GAGTCCAAACAGCTGATAAAAACATCACAATAATCCACACCACTCCAGTCCATCAGTTAACATATTGAGAAGCCAAAAGCTGTGTGTTTGTAAGAAACAAATCCATTATTAAGAAGTTTTAAACTTCATACCATCACTTCTGGCCAAAATACCACTTCCTCCAGTGAATAAATCCATCACCTGTTGTCCTAAATCCAGCCAATCCAGCCACATATTTCTTTAGAGCTGTTTAAACTCTGCTTGATCTGTGCAGATTTCTCACACCAGAACACAGATGTTAACTGATGGACTGGAGTGCTGTGGATTACTTGTGGATTATTGTGATGTTTTTATCAGCTCTCGTTCTGACGGCACCCATTCGCTGCAGAGATCCATCGGTGTAATGCTGTTAGGGCTGGGAAAATAAATCGATGCATCGCGAATCGAGAAATGATTCCGCATCGATTCTGAGATTTTCCAAATGCATGGCGATTCTTTCTCGAGTCGATTCTGAGTTTATAGTTTTGAACAGCAGATGGCGCTGCATGCTTTAGAAACAGCCAAATCCTTACACACACGTGAACCTAAAATAATCATTCATAAAGTTCGAAAAGGTTGAAGCGAATCACAAGGGTGTTCACAGTGGGCTGTGTTTACATTTACGCGTCATAAAAGCATTCTGAGCCGAGGTGAAATTACAGACTCAGCCGAACACACAAGCGCTCTTCAGCTCTTCTTCATGAGTGTTTGAGTGTGCGGATCTGCTGTTAAAATCTAAGCTCAGAATCGATTCCAGAGAGAATCACGATGCATTCGGAAATCTCAGAATCCATCCACGAATCAATTCTGCATCGATTTATCATCGCAGCCCTAAATTTCTCCAAATCTGATGAAGAAACAAACTCATCTACATCTTGGATTTTCTTTTCTGGGTGGACTATTTCTTTTAAGTCTGGTTCAGTAAACCACTGTTTACATTTTTTTTTTTTTTACTATTTTTTTGCCATAATGAAAACATACCAAACCGTGACTTTTGTGTACCGTTACACCTCTAATAAAACTATTTATAAACACTGACCTTTTGACCTCTGAGGCCCACACCCGGGTCGTTCTCGATCTCCCACATGCCCTCCTCGAAGCCGCCGCGTTTGATTGGCCGGCCGTACTTCTCTTTGTTTGGCCAGTAGGAGGCGATGTCTTTGGGCAAGAGGAACGTTCTTGAAGAGCAGAGATGGGACAGTGTTAAAACGCAATACTAGTAACTGCTAAATACTGCGCTGCCTAATAGTAAAGGACACAATATGCATTTTACATTTATGCATCTGGTAAATGCATTATCAAAAACGACTTGCATTGCATTCAAGGTACTGTATATATTTCATCAGTTCATGCTTTCCTAAAATAAAACACATGACATATTCATTTAAGGTAGTAAAGAGTTTTTTGTTTGTTTTCATTTTGTTTCATTCTTTTTATTGTTTTCTTTCTGTTACACGGAAATACATGTGTACAGTTATAACGTAGACTTTTATAATGTTACCAAAAAAAAAAAATGCTGTTCTTTTTCAATTTTCTTTTAAAAAGGAGTCTCAAGTATTTGTACGCACAAACTTTTGCATGAAACCCCCGAATGTTTTCACGATCAGATCATGATTCTTCAGTAAGTCTCTCACTAATATTTATTATAAATTTACGAACAAATGTAGGAACAAATAAAAACCACACGTGTGCAAAAATCACATACTCTGGGTAAACATTTTAAGATTAAATTATATACATATGTATTTAATTCTGAATATATTTCATCATATACAGTAAAATAGTGAGAAAAGCTGTGTTATAGTCAGGGTTATTACAGTTAACTAAACTAGTATTTTACTTGAAATAAAATAAACATTAACTGAAACAATTTATTTTTAGCTAGTTGCCAAGACAATACATTTAGTTTAAGTTAATGCACTATAATAACTAAAACTGACTATAGACTAATGAATAAGACAAAAAATTACTATTAATAAATACTATATACTGCAGAAAGTATGATACTGCTCTATTATGATACATTCATTCTGAAACAGTCAGAACAAAACACACATTAGATAACATATGCTTGATTTAATGTGTTTTGTTTTGACTGTTTCAGAATGAGTGTGTGTGAGTGAGTGTGTGTGAGAGTGAGTGCGTGTGTGTGAGAGTGAGTGCGTGTGTGTGAGAGTGAGTGCGTGTGTGTGAGAGTGAGTGCGTGTGTGTGAGAGTGAGTGCGTGTGTGTGAGAGTGAGTGCGTGTGTGTGAGAGTGAGTGCGTGTGTGTGAGAGTGAGTGCGTGTGTGTGAGAGTGAGTGCGTGTGTGTGAGAGTGAGTGCGTGTGTGTGAGAGTGAGTGCGTGTGTGTGAGAGTGAGTGCGTGTGTGTGAGAGTGAGTGCGTGTGTGTGAGAGTGAGTGCGTGTGTGTGAGAGTGAGTGCGTGTGTGTGAGAGTGAGTGCGTGTGTGTGAGAGTGAGTGCGTGTGTGTGAGAGTGAGTGCGTGTGTGTGAGAGTGAGTGCGTGTGTGTGAGAGTGAGTGCGTGTGTGTGAGAGTGAGTGCGTGTGTGTGAGAGTGAGTGCGTGTGTGTGAGAGTGAGTGCGTGTGTGTGAGAGTGAGTGCGTGTGTGTGAGAGTGAGTGCGTGTGTGTGAGAGTGAGTGCGTGTGTGTGAGAGTGAGTGCGTGTGTGTGAGAGTGAGTGCGTGTGTGTGAGAGTGAGTGCGTGTGTGTGAGAGTGAGTGCGTGTGTGTGAGAGTGAGTGCGTGTGTGTGAGAGTGAGTGCGTGTGTGTGAGAGTGAGTGCGTGTGTGTGAGAGTGAGTGCGTGTGTGTGAGAGTGAGTGCGTGTGTGTGAGAGTGAGTGCGTGTGTGTGAGAGTGAGTGCGTGTGTGTGAGAGTGAGTGCGTGTGTGTGAGAGTGAGTGCGTGTGTGTGAGAGTGAGTGCGTGTGTGTGAGAGTGAGTGCGTGTGTGTGAGAGTGAGTGCGTGTGTGTGAGAGTGAGTGCGTGTGTGTGAGAGTGAGTGCGTGTGTGTGAGAGTGAGTGCGTGTGTGTGAGAGTGAGTGCGTGTGTGTGAGAGTGAGTGCGTGTGTGTGAGAGTGAGTGCGTGTGTGTGAGAGTGAGTGCGTGTGTGTGAGAGTGAGTGCGTGTGTGTGAGAGTGAGTGCGTGTGTGTGAGAGTGAGTGCGTGTGTGTGAGAGTGAGTGCGTGTGTGTGAGAGTGAGTGCGTGTGTGTGAGAGTGAGTGCGTGTGTGTGAGAGTGAGTGAGTGCGTGTGTGTGAGAGTGAGTGAGTGCGTGAGTGAGTGAGTGAGTGTGAGTGAGTGTGTGTGAGTGAGTGCGTGAGTGAGTGAGTGAGTGAGTGTGAGTGTGTGTGTGTGTGTGTGTGTGTGTGTGTGTGTATGAGTGAGTGAGTGAGTGAGTGAGTGAGTGAGTGAGTGAGTGAGTGAGTGAGTGAGTGAGTGAGTGAGTGAGTGAGTGAGTGAGTGAGTGAGTGAGTGAGTGAGTGAGTGAGTGAGTGAGTGAGTGAGTGAGTGAGTGAGTGAGTGAGTGAGTGAGTGAGTGAGTGAGTGAGTGAGTGAGTGAGTGAGTGAGTGAGTGAGTGAGTGAGTGAGTGAGTGAGTGAGTGAGTGAGTGAGTGAGTGAGTGAGTGAGTGAGTGAGTGAGTGAGTGAGTGAGTGAGTGAGTGAGTGCGTGTGTGTGTGTGAGAGTGAGTGAGTGAGTGAGTGAGTGAGTGAGTGAGTGAGAGTGTTTGTGAGTGTGTTTGTGAGTGTGTGAGCTTCCAGTTTACTCACGTGGAGTGTGTTCCATAAAAGAAGATGGGGATCTTATTTTGGGGGCATTTTCCTTCACCGATCTGAGTGACATATAAAACAACACTTGTACAGTCAGATTTTAATTGACCTCATTTACTGTATATGATGAATATGCCTTATATCTGCTGTATATAAACTCACCCTGGCAGGCCAGAAAGGATAACCCTTCATTTTAGCAAACACTATGTCCCCTGGAATAAAATCCTCTGTGGTCTGATCAGATGTCATCTTCATCTGAGGAAATAACGAGTTAATTAATAAAAACAACACTCGTTATGTGTCACCAACACACACAAACAATAACAAAACACTGGACCAGCAAATACACCGCTTACATTCATAAAATTAGCCTTATGGTTATGAACTTGCTTCTGTTAAACAATAATATGCTTTTATTATAATTTCATTGCTATCGACACTGAAGTAACGTTAAATAAAATAACGATAGCCGTGTTCGGCTAGCTCAGGCTAACATAAGCATACTGTGTGTGTAAAAACTTACCTTCACTCCCTTCTGCATATCTACTCACTCAGAGACCACTCTAAAAACTCTCAGATTTAAAAACAAAACGGAAAACGCGAATTAAAAAATATTATCACGCAATGAATGAAAGGACTTGGCGACCTGCATAAGAATGTGTTATCTCCCCTCAGCGCAGGTGGAATAGTTCGATCCGCCTCCCGCTCAGAGCGACTGAGGAATGTACCACTACTGAGAGAGGGGGGGTGGGTGGATTTGTAATTTTTCTAAATATAATTATTAACAGGTTTCCTCTCAATAGTAAGTTTAATTACTACGTATTTTAGTTTATGTGTAATTATTCGCGAATTTAAAATTATATTCGTAAACTGAAAAGCAAAATTGCATCACTGTTTGTTAACATCGGTCGTTAAGTAGTTAAAATTCCGCGGAAGGAAGCGGCAAAATAAAGACTTTTAGAATATTTTAACCCTTTATTTAGTAATTTAACTAAAAAAAAAAAAAAACATATACGTGTTAATTAAAAGTAAACAGCGGTAAATGTTTTGAGGAATATTTCGCGCTGTTTTTCGCTTGAGGTTGTTGTCATGGTGAGGGCGGAGGAGACAACATGGCGTCAGATTCAAACAGACGCTGAGGGGGTTTTATAATAACACGGATTTAAGCGTTTTTATTTCGTTTAACTTCGATATTTCATCAAACACTGATGTGCGAGCATCACAGGCCTTTAAATAGTAAGTTGGTGTTTAGTTTTACTCACGTTATTTTGAATTAACCGTGTATCGCTTTTAGAAACAAACAGCGTGAATTTCATTAAGTTCGATTCGATTTTATAGAGCGTATTATTTATTGCATTTTAATAAACTACGTATATTTAAAACATAGTTTTTGTCAGATTGTCAAACGCAACCATATTTATTAAATGCGTCTCTAAACCGTTTTTTGTCTCATGTAAAATTACATTGCTTTATTTTTCCTTCTCTTATTGTAAATCCATTTGAAACATTCATGTATTTTGTTATACACATTTTTGGTAACTGTTAACTCTTGAAGACTTTATATATAATGCATTATAAATGTATTTTAATGCATTATGTATGCCTTGCAGTGCACCTTATAATGAATTTTATGAGCCCATGAATAATGTAACACTTATATATACATTGTTATACCTTTAGAAAGTACTTTTACTTTACAACAGATGACAAGCAAGCAATTTAAGATGTAACATATTGTAACTTTGGTTAAAACTATAATGCAGAATACCTTGTAATACATTATAAATTAATGATGTTACCTCCATATTTGTGACCCTGGGGTATATTTGTAGCAATAGCCAACGATACATTGTATAGGTCAAAATTATACATTTTTCTTTTACGCCAAAAATCATTAGGATATTAAGTAACGATCATGTTCCATGAAGATATTTTGTAAATTTCCTACCGTAAATATATCAAAACTTAATTTTTGATTAGTAATATGCATAGCTAAGAACTTAATTTGGACAACTTTAAAGATGATTTTCTCAATATTTAGATTTTTTTGCACCCTCAGATTCCAGATTTTCAAATAGTTGTATCTCAGCCAAATATTGTGCTATCATAACAAACCATACACCAATGGAAAGATTATTTATTCAGCTTTCAGATGATGCATACATCTCAATTTTGAAAAATTGACCCTTATGACTGGTTTTGTGCTCCAGGGTCACATTTGTTCATAATAAAGTGATTATTCAGAGTCTAATGATGCTCTTGTTTCGCAGACCTCAGAAGCGTAACGTCACGCTGACCTTATGTCCACAGAACCGCCCACCGTTCGTCCACGCCATGGCAATCGGACCAAACGTAAAGACCCTGCTTCCACCCTGCAGGCGTCTCACCCGCGAGCCGCGGCGCCGTCTGCGCAAAACTCGCCGGAGGAGAGCAACAGGTTCCTGTGAGACTCTGTTACGTGTTTCTAACATGTTAATAAGATGCACGTATACGACCTGGTGTGGTGTGTTTACAGGCTCAGGGACGTGATCGATCGGCTGCAGAGAGACAGACGGGACGCTGAGAGAGAGACGGGAGAGGATTTTACTCTCACAGCTAAGCTGAGGTGGAAGATTAACCAGCTGGAAAAGGAGAAACTGGATTTCGCTTCCAAGCACAATGAAGCGGTGCGTCACGCTGTCAATCAGATGGCAGATTAATGAACAAACACATGCATTTGGCAGATGCTTTTATCCAGAGCGACTTGCATTGAAAGTTTACTTTTGATCATTTCATCCGTTCTTTGGGAAATGAACCCATGATTAGGGTTGGGTATGGAAAACCGGTTCCATTTTAGAACCGGTTCCAAATTTCCAAGAACCGGGTATTCGATAAGACATTTCGATTCTGCTTAACGATTCCTGCGTTCGCATTTTAATGTGATTAAAAAACGATTTAAGTGCAGGAACGGAAAGAACTTGCGCTCTGTTTGCGTGCAGCGCACACGAAGCGCAAGCACAGAGAACAGAGATCAGTACGGGTTCCCGGTAGGGGTGTGCGAAATATATCATCTGCGATAATATCGTAATTGTTGTTTTAACGATGTGCGATTTGACATTATCGAGTATTTAGCAAAAACCATTCAAAACATCCCTACAGAGCGCACGCATACATTACGTGAAGTCTAGACGAGTGCGTGTGTGCATTTAGTGTGCTTTCTTTCACTGCATGATTCAGTCTATTAAAATGCATTTAGAATGATCACAAATTCAAGACATGATGGCAGAAAATGTATATATTTATACCACTTCATATAGTTATTCAATTTCACATGAAGAGTGCCGTTTTTCTCCAGAAATTACCATGATTACAAATGTGACATTGAATTCAATAAACAATAAGTTAATTAAGAGACTTACGTTTTAGACACCATATTGCTTGTTTTTGCTCTATTTCGCCAACAAAAATCATTCAGAATACAGCCACAGCGCTGTTTTGTGTATCTGAGCAACATGACGGTGTTTCGTTCCTGAATGAATCAACCGTTTAAATGATTCGGTTCAATCGCAATGACTCACTTATTAACAG